CCCCAAAACCCCAAAACCCCAAAACCCCAAATCCAATTTAAATATTGAAACTCTTTCTGTTTCAATTAAAAAAGAAAAAGGATTGACTTCTTCCAATGATAGCCAAAAAAGTAGAGATTCAAAATATGTTCTTGTAAATCATACTTTCGTAGTTGAAAGAGAGATTAGAGGGCATTGAAGCAATATAACCCCATAAAGCGGACTCCTAAAATTCAAACCCTTATTAAACGTTCCAAGTTGACACATAGTGAGAAGATCAAAAGGAAAGAACATGATATGGAAGCTGCCGAGTTAGATGGTCGGCATTTCGGCACTCTTAGAACACATAAGTTTTCATGAAATCTCTTTTATCTGTTAAATATCCACTTTTAAGTACTAATTTTGGAAATATAGTGTCTATGACTTTGGAGAGAATGATTTGTCACAAGAGTTTACACATGATCTTCTTCCTGAGTACTCCCAGTATACCTATCCTGTATATCTAAACACAGAATCTGCTAGTGAGTTGGCTTGCCCAAAGTTTGTTGGAGAGTCTTCCACAACTTCAAAGCATCCTATATTTGCTATAAAATGGATGCAACATGGAAGAAAGCTTATCAAAGGACATACAAATGGGGAAATCCATGTTTGGAATGGAGTCACACTGAATTTCGACACTGTTAATTATCTTCATGAAGACAGTATTAAGGTCATGAAATGGGCCAAGTACCATGAATGGCTTATACCTGTAGATAAAAAGGGTAAATCTTAACCTCTGATCAATTTTAGGCTGAATTCACTATTGGACAACCGATCTAAACACGATTGCGAAGCATCAGGCTCATACAAGTCAAGTGAGAGACCTTGATTTCTCTTCTTCCTACGGTAAATTCGCCTCTTGAAGTGATGACAGAATTGTGAAGATATTTAATTTCGGAACTTTCAAGCCCTAACCCCAATTCGAAGGTAATCGTTCAGACGTCAAGACATGTGCCTGGCATCCATATGAGTCCATGATAGTGTCTGCTGGTAGAGACTCTGAAATTAAGCTTTGGGATCCGAAATCAGGGAAGGAGGTATACACGATTCAGTCACATTATAATGTCATTAACAAGGTTCCCTGGAATAAGAATAGTAATTGGTTCCTGAGTGGGTCTAAAGATACCTCGATCAAGATCTACGATGTTAGGGTCATGAAAGATTTCATAACTTCCCAGGCTCATGAAGATGAAATTAACGAACTTGAATAGCATCCAGACTGCGAAGAGCTCTTTGTCAGTGGAGGAGGTGATGGAATGGTAGTATTCTGGATGGCAAATGAAGATGAAGCTTACTATAAGATTGATAAAGCACATTACAGAGCATGCTGAGACCTTGTTTGGCACTCTATGGGAAACTTCCTAGCAACCGCAGGTAATGATACCTTCTTACAACTCTAGTCAAGACCAAAACCTGGTGAAGGATTTGAAGATCCAAAAATTAGGCTTGGTGAACGGCGTTGCTGAAATAAACCAAGCAAAGCCTGCAGGTATGTATGGAGGATCTAAACTATTTGCTGATAAGAGCTACATCAGCCACAAAGAAGCCCAGTCGTTGGCTAAGAGTAAGGAGAACCTCCAGAGAAGTTCTAAAAGAATGTAGCTCTTACAATGCATGAACTCTAATATCTTCAATATTTATGAACTAATTTTTGAAAATATCAATCATAAATTTTTTAAATGGGGTTTTGGGGTTTTGGGGTTTTGGGGTGATCGG